CAACACGTACAGTACCTGTTCGTCAAGGGAAAGCGGCCTGCTAGCGAGTGCCAAATCCTCTACTATCAACTGGGCACGGCCCAAGTATTCTGCCGGAGTATTGTTCCCCTGCCGGAGGTTTTGGAATTGCCCGAGCAGATTAAGGCACCGCGCATGTGTAGAGGACCCCAGCACCGTGGTAATGGACAGCCACACTTCTCGCGCAGTTTGCCGGCCGACCGCGAGGTACATCACCTCGTCGGAAAGAGACGAGATGAGAAGGGAAAGGATCGATTGATCCTGTTGTACCCACGCGGCGTAGGCGGGATTCGGGGTTGTGGTGCTGGTTGTCGCGCCGGAGGCAGCATCGCCGGAGGGAGTCGACGTCTGAACTGTGGCTGGTGGGCATGTGGATTCGCCATCAATGAAGCCCAACAAACCATGCCCTCGGAGAAAGGGCACTAACTGTGTCCGCCAAAACAAAAAATTCCTCGTCCGTTAGCTTGATGGAGACGAAGTGGTGGGCGGCAGTCAGCGTATTCGTGGTGGCCGAAGCTGGCGTTGCGGCGACACTCACAGTTCTTTCAGAGGAGTTCGTAGACATCGTTTGGGAAGGGAGGATATTTTGGATGAGAGAGAAAAGGAAGGCTTAACTGATACCAGATGAACGTAATTGATTCAGGATCGATTGAATTCAGAAACAGTTACAACCAATAAGAGTCCTATAGGAGAGACTCACATAATAGTCTCCTATATAATAGCTAAGCTAAGTCAACTAAACTCTAGCCACTAATTTATTGACTATACAATATAACATATATTACTAACAGGATTCTACATGTGTTTTGCTATGAAATGTGAGTGTTTATGCATTGTCTTGTGAAAATGCATATCTAGAGCTTGTGTTTAGGGTTCTTGTATGTCATTGCTTGGCTATTCCTTTGATTTAAGTCATTTTGTTGTATTTGGTGAGATTTGACATGTTTTGGACTTGAATTTGAGCTTGATGTTGAAAATCCCCGAAGGGATTATTTGGTGTACAGGTATGTACCCGCGGGCGGAGCGGCGGGCAGTGGCCTACCCGCCGCCCACCCGCAGGGAACAGGCTGAACGTGGGTATGTACTGAATCGTGCTAAGTGTTCAACATTGTGTTTCGTTGAACCGTGATGAGTCTTGTGTGTTCTTCAGAACTATGTTGGGTTTACCCGTTTGATAAGCATGCTAGTTCGGTGTTTAAATACTAGCGTGTGTGTTGTTTGTACCTTCTTATTGGTTGATGATAACTTGTGTTATTCATCGTTGTTGTTGTTGGACTGTGATCCATTCCTTGATTGAGTATGGTTTCATATCTTCGTGGTGATCCGTTGATTGATTCCTGTTGAGGTGTGATGTGTGTGTGGCTTTACCTGGATTGCACGATTAGTGGTATGGGACACTAGTCACCAAGGTATTGCAGTGGTCCTCGTGGTGGCCATGACGTGATTATGGAGTTTGTGACCTGAGTGATGGGTTCACATATTTCTTGGGTGGCATGTGTTATCGTGTGTGTGATCGGTACCCTCGTGTACTATGAATTGGTGGTCTTGTTGGTGGTGGACGACGGTCCCAGGAGGGAAAAGGTTGGACTAAGAAGTACAGGGGTCCTGGAGGTAATGGTTGGAACTAGCTATAAGGTTGGGGGTAGCCATAAGGTTGGAACCGGGCATAAGGAAGGCATATCAACTCGTGATGGTGATGTCACGAGGGCTTGTGTAGCCGTTGTTGTGTATTTCTCTAATTGTGACGTGTGATGTCACAAAGGCATGTGTTGCCAATGGTTGTGTCCTTGTTCTCTTGAGTTGTGCATGTCGGGACTCGGGTGTTAATCTATTGTGTGATGATAGATTATACCTTGAGTCGTTCTTGCGAGTTGTTGTTGTCTTTGTGGTCTTGGGATGTGTTCCCTTATCTTGTTGTGAGTGCTTTGAGTCTTGTGTTGACCTTTGTTCTTGGTTTTGAACTTTTATATATATATATATATTCCGTTTCACAAAAGGTTTTACAAACGTATATCTTATCTATGTATGTTATTTCACATGTATTGGTGGGTTACCAGCATCATTCGCTGACCGGGCGTCGTCCCATCTTTTATGTATTTCTTTCGGGTGATGTTTAGACGAGAGCGTGGTTTAGTGCCAGCTAGTGTAGCTCCTTCTTGTGTTTTGTGGCCTGTGAGCCAGTTTAGACTTAGTATTTGAACATGTATGGTTTTAGATGTTAATTATGCAGATATTAGCATGTGCGTTCATCCCTGGATGAGCGTGGCATAACACCCCTTTGACTTCCAGTTTATATATTTTTTTTTCAGTCTTCCGCTGAGTCTAATGTTTGTTTAAGATATCTGCATGTTTAAGGCTTTAAATAGCTTGGTTTTTAGGGGGTGTTACACTCTTTGGCAGCAAGCAATGTTGGAAGAACTTCAAGCCTTGGAAAAAACTCATACTTGGGACCTCGTAGAGCTTCCTCCAGGTAAAATTCCTATTGGATGTAAATGTATCTACAAGACCAAAACTCGCTCAGACGGTTCTGTTGAGCATTATTGTAACACCCCGTGTTACGACCCCTAAAACCGATTAATCATTTAACCAATTGCCCAGAAGGAAGAATTAAATTACAATAATTAATTAAGAAAATGCCCACCATAGTCCATGGGCCCTTATCCCTAAACCCAATCCTTAGTCCTAAAAAGGAATAGAGTTAGCAAACCTATAGTAATTAGGCCCTAAGTAAGACTCTTAGATATATAAATAGGGAACATAAGGAGGCACCTAGAACTCCCACCATAATAATCCCTCACCACACAAGAAGTTCTAAGAATTCCCCTAGGAGAAATCAAGAAAGAAGAAAGCTTCAAGAAAGACCCTTCATAGCCAAGGAATTAATCAAGGCTAAAAGGTAACCCATGTCTCAACAAAACCTATTTTCATAGCTATGATTCCCCTCTTAGGATTCCCCCATATTATTGTGTATGGATGATTTGTGATATTATTATTGATGATTGGTGGGATGATTCCATGGGTGATCTTGATGATGAGAGGTTCTTGATAATTATGGTGTTCTTGATGATTATATGACGTTCTTGATGATTATATGATGTTCTTGATGTTCTTAATGATTATATGAGGTTCTTGATATTTATATGATATTCCTACCGAATCTTGATTTTGGAAGATGAATTGTGTTCTTGTTGATTTAAAAATAATTAGAGCCCTAGGTTATATCGTGGAATTCGTATCGAATTATTCTTGGTATATTGGGTGGGAATTCGCATGATTGGGGGTTGATTATATTTAGAAAAGCATGATAGGTTATGTGTCGTATGTTTCTTGATTTTGATCCGTTAATTGTCTACGTGTGTTATCAATTGCGTTTGAAAGTGTCTAAGCATGGTTTCGGGTTCCACAAAGGTTCCCGGGGCGTTTTTGGTGAAAAAGATTCAGTGGGGGGTAGGTGGGGGTAGGGGACGCGCCACCTACCCACGGCCAAAAGAGGCCTCGCCGGCAGCGGGCGGGCAGCTGCCCGCCGGGCACCCGCTGCCCGGAACAGTGCCGCCGGCGGGTGACTCCTCACCCACCGGCTACCCGCTGGTTTGTACCCCACCTTGGGATTTTGGCTTCCCCGTTTGATGTTCCCCCGACCCCCGTGGTGTCCCAACGGACTCCGTCTATCGTGCCTATGTCTAGTTTGATATTTCGGGTACCGTTCGTAGGTTGTATGAGTCTTATATATTGCATGCTAGTTGAATTGGTATCCCGTTGACCTAGGTGAAAGAAGTATGAACCCCTTAAGATTATTCTTAGTATGTGAAGGATCACGCATAGGTTTTGTTATACGTTTTCTCCCCTTCCCAATGTGTTAATGTGGGCTGCATGTGCTTGCTATGTGTTATGTGTGCATGATATCCCAATTCGGTTGCGATCGGATTGGTTATTCCTGAGCTGCGGTTCAGAAGCTGGCTGCGGTCAGATTTACACTCTTGGGCTGCGGTCTACCGTTTGGTTGCGATCAAACGTTTCTACATGAGCTGCGGTTCATATTTCCTGGCTGCGGTCAGATGACATACTCTTGGGTTGCGGTTCACTGTTTGGTTGCGATCAAACTATGATGAGCTGCGGTTCATCGGTCGGTTGCGATCGACCCCTCCGTGTTGCGATACGGGGCAGGGTGCTGCGGGGCCGTGTCAGAGCTATATGCGCTGACCCTCATGTATGGGCATGCGATTGGTCCTGTGGCGCCAACAAAGTGTGCTATGTGATGAATTATGGATGAGTTGTTGTTATGAGTGTCTTGGGGATGTGACTATGGGATCTATACTGATAATCGTATATGTTGGGTTATGATTATTAATTGTGCTTATCTTTACCTGTCTTGCCTGTTGTAAACTATATATGCTTGGTATAACTGTTGTCTGTGCTTAGCTCTATCTTTCAAGTCTATCCCTATTTCAAAAGCTAGAGTCTCGTAGGATATATCTTCATGCTTCAAAATGGTTTTCGTATATCTATATATATGTCTATATGTATTGTATTTCAACGCGTTGGAGTGGGTTACCAGCATCTCTCGTTGAACAGATATATTTGGCTTTCAGGCACAGATAAGTAGATCACTGGAGCGCGCTAGAAGCTTGGGGCGTAGCTTAGATAGTTTTCCCTTTCGGCCTGCGTGCCATGATTTAGTATTGATACTGATTGAGGTTTTAGAATTTAGCCTGTGCACCCGAGTTCTCTAGCTCGGGTGTGGCATAGCACCCCGTACTCTTTGTATCGTATTTTGAGATTTAATGAGATTCTATCTTTATTATATAAGTTTTAAAAGTCTTGAAAATCTGGGGTGTTACAGTTATAAAGCTCGGTTGGTCGCTAAAGGCTACACTCAAGAGTATGTCATTGATTATGAGGAAACATTTGCTCCGGTTGCTCGTTTGACCTCTATTCGTAATCTTTTAGTTATTGCTGCAATTAAACATTGGCCTCTTCTCCAGATGGATGTTAAGAATGCTTTTCTCAATGGCAATCTTGATGAAGAAGTTTATATGCATCCCCCACCTGGATACTCTCATAATTCAAAACAAGTTTGTTTACTTCAGCGTGCGTTATATGGACTTAAACAAGCGCCTCGTGCATGGTTTGCGAAATTCAGCTCCACGATTGCGCAGTTTGGTTTCACCTCTAGTCCTCATGATTCTGCTTTGTTTGTTCGCCATACTAACAAGAGTGTTGTTTTCTTGTTACTCTATGTAGATGATATGATTATTACAGGTGATGATTCCATGGTTATTTTTGATGTCCAACGTTATCTTAATCAACACTTTGAAATGAAGGATTTGGGACCTCTTAGCTATTTTCTAGGTCTTGAAGTTTCTTCCACTTCTAATGGCTACTATTTATCTCAAGCTAAATATGCTGCTGATCTACTCTCAGGGCTGGTATAACAGATTCTAGTACTACATCTACACCATTGGACACAAATGTTAAATTAACACCTTTTGATGGCACACCCCTTGTTGATCCCACATTATACAGGCAACTGGTTGGTAGCCTTGTTTATCTTACAGTAACTCACCTGGATATTTCTTATGCTGTTCACGTAGTAAGTCAATTTATGACAAATCCTCGTATGATTCACTTTACTGCTGTGCTCCGCATCTTACGATATGTTAAAGGTACTCTTGTGTATGGTCTTCATTTCTCTGCGCACTCCTCATTAACCTTGTCTGTCTACTCTGATGCTAATTGGGCTGGAGACCCTACTGATCGTCGTTCAACGACTGGTTATTGTTTCTTCTTGGGTGACTCACTTATTTCATGGCGAAGTAAAAAGTAAACAGGCACTTCTCGATCTAGCACTGAATCTGAATATCGGGCACTTGGGTGAATCTAAATAGCGGTCAAATTTTTTAATCAAATGAATGGCTCAGATTGATCAGATTTTAATTTTTCCTTAGGATTTCCTAATTTATCCTTAATGAATATGATTATCCGTTAAATATTATCTTTTTCGTTAATTTCTGTTAGTTCATCGTTAACTTACTCATTGATTTCAATAAAAAGGTCTTAGGTTCGAACCTCATACCAATCAAAGTTGGCATAATTAGTACTCTTATTAAATTAAATAATAATAGTAATTTAGTAGCTACAACAAAAAAAATAATACATATGCATTTTTTTAATTTAGAATTGTGTCTACATGTCTTTATTCAAAAAGAGTTATTCATTATCAATAAATTAAATAAGAGAAATAATTTTATTAGTCATATTGTCTTTATTTTTCTCCAATATAAAAATTCTTTACATTCAAATTTTCATTAATTGATTATATTCGCTACATTGTCCCTACAATGTCTTTATTGAAAAAAATTATTCATTATCAATAAATTAATTAAGAGAAATAATTTTATTAGCTATATTGTCTTTATATTTCCCCAATTTAAAAATTCTTTACATTCAAATTCATCAATTGATTATATTCACTATATTGTTTATTATCTTTTTTTTTGTGCATTATTTTTTAATTAAATATCAAAGTTATATACAAAATAATGTTATATATTTATTTACCAAGTATTTTATTAATACCATGAAAAAACATTAATAAAACCAATCATATTAACTACTTGAGGGATTTGTTGACAAAGAGAGTATTCAAATCACACAACAAATTGAAGTGAGAACTACATCGCAATGTCTTTGTTTGACAATCCGCAGTTAGCGATTAGCGTTAGCGGATTTGATCGACGAATTATATCAACGGTGATAAAAAGATATTTGAAAAAATTAGGTGTTTAGATTAACATGTAAAATGACCTAAGGGTAACTACTTGGGGATTTATTGACAAAAGAGTATTCAAATCACACAACAAATTGAAGTAAGAAACTACCTCGCAATGTCATTGTTTGGCAATTAGTAGTTAACTCTTCAATATTAGTATATATTTAATATTTTATGCCCTAATTTTTATTTGCTCTCCCTTATGTCCCGTATTTGGTTTCAACCATACCTATACAATTATTTTATTGACAATTATAATCAATCTTGACTATATTATCTTGCATTTGTAAGCTTAGACTTATCTATTTAAATATGCAAATTCAACATTCAATTATCTATGCATGAACAATTCCAATATAATTTTGACTTGATATACTTTAAAGTACTTATTTAAAAAAAAAAAAAAAACATTGGGCATTATCCCAATCGCGCAATGTGCGTAAAAAACTAGTGTCTATATAAATGTGCACAAATATTCGACCTTAAAAAAAAAAGAGCCTTTTAGAGAATACCTTCTTTTGCCCTCTCGTGAATTTGCATATTAATATACTTTCTTGAGACATCGACTTCATGAAATCTCTAAAAAGTGGGGGACTATATGATGAATAGTATACTAGGGCTGGGTCACATGGACCGGCCTAAGAAAGCAATTGGATCAAGGAAGCCCAATAAAAACATGATACAGAGCAGCCCAAGAGCTTGTTAAGTATTGAGCATGTTATTCCCAATATAATTAGAATTGGACTCATTATTCCTAGTATAATAGAATTAGGTGTTATTATGTAACTAAGACTCCCCATATGAGGAGTCTAGAATTCTTATTCCCTCCATGGGGGAAAGTGAGCCAACTTTTAGTTTTCACATAGAAATATTCATCAATAAAAAGTTCATATATTTTCTCCATATATTTATCATACTTTCTTGTCATTTTAACGGTAGTGTTGACCTGCCGTTGACTGCCCAAAAGTCATAAAACCAACAATGATAATCACCATCAATATTATATTTAAGAATAAGGTCCAAATTAGCCACTGGACGTAACATGTAAGTGCAATAAGGCCACTGAACGAAAAAAAAAAAGTGCAATAAGGTCACTGAACGAAAAAAAGTGCAATTAAGTCACTAAACACCCCAATGTATGCAATTTCACTTGCTAGCGAGTTACCATAAGTTTAATAAGGTTGCCTTCTTATATGGATGGTGAGTTGGTATTTTAAATAATTTTTAATAATAAATATTAAAAATAAAAATTAATTTTTTTCTTTTAAAAAAAGAAACGTCCGGCCACCCCCTTCCCCCTTCCTTTGTTTCCGGTTGAATTGGAGACAAAGGAGGTGGCCGGCGGCTACCCCAACCTTTTTATTTTTTATTTATTTGTTTTTTAATATATCAATGAACTTGCATCTGTAATCCTAATGGCAAATGGGTCCATAAGCACTTACACTGGTGGGATAGTATGTCTTCTATTCTTTAGCTTCAAAATTATGTATCTGAACATTTTGAATCTTGGTGTTCCTTAATTACATATACTTCTATCAGTGTATTTTCATGGTTTCTGAATGTTTCCATATTGGTTGCATGCATCGTATTTAAGTAGCAACCCAGGGAGCTTATTTAATGAAAATAAATAAAAAATAAAAAGGCTGGGGTCGCCGTCGGCCACCCCCTTCCCCTCCTCTTCATCTCTAACTGGAGATGAAAAGGAGGGGGAGGCGGTTGCCAGCACCCACCCCAGCGTTTTTTTTTTTTTTTTTTTTAAATTCTTTTAAAGTTTATTATTAAAAATTATTTAAAATGTCAAATCACTATTCATATAAATAGACAATAAAATAGATAATCCAATAAGATAGCTTAAATGGCAAATGAGTCTTTTTTTATGAGGGAGAATTTCGAGATAACTCGAGTTCAATTCTTACCAATTTTTATGGACCATTAAACGAACAAAGAATACTTAATCTACTATTAAGTAAAATTACATACATTTAAAGTGTTTAATAATCTAATTATATATTTTTATTCAATGACCTAATTATACTTTCAAATTAGACTAATTTGAACCTTGTTCCTAAGAAAGTCTTTTATGTGCTAACATCTAAAAAAATCCCTAAAACCCTATTTCTTAAACCAGCATTTCACAGAACGACGAATCTCCAATCTCCTCTCTGTCCCAACTACGACGACGACGCCTCTCGCCCCCCCCTCCCCACCCGCGAATCTGCGACGAAGCAAGCAGAAGACGACAAAGTCTGCGACGACGCTGCCTCCCTCCCTCTCCTGCGAATCTGCAAATCTGGGTATGTCTTGGTCATTGAAATCTATGGAGTAGGGAGTAGGGAGTAGGGACTGAGTGACAGACGAGGTCTTGATATGGTCGTGTGAGTGAATGAACTCTATGCCGTGTGAATTGGATTGTTAATATATGATTGCTTACTGCTGATTTTGCCGTGTGGATTGTTCATACTGATGTTTTTGTTATTTGATGAATCTGTACTGCTCTGTACATTTCCATTGCTAAACATGAATTCTATTTTTGGATTTGATCTTGCTTACTAGGAATATGTTTACACTCAGAATATGATCTGCTAACTCATCTCACATTGGTGTATCTGGCTTTCATGATACTTTGGTTTGCAATTTTGAGTTTAATTTGCTTTTCTTTTAAATAATAATCAGGAGAAGTGGAAAAGATCATTATTTTGAACACAACCTAACCAAGCTTTTGTTCTGCTGAGTATGGTGTAACTATATAGCTCTTATGATGGTAGTGATGGTATATTGCCTTCCACTACTTCATATTTTGTTATAACCATATGCATTAAGCACGACTTAAATCACAAATTAGTATGTTACTTTTGTTGAGTGACGAGGTAAACCAACCTGTTTCGATTGCTCTAGACTGGGGAATATGCTCCCTGTCCATCCCTACCCATGTCCATCCCTTGAATGATGTACAAACTTGGGTAAGGGGGCTAATTTCATACACTTAGAAAGTAAAAAAAAGAAAGAAAAGTGAAACATAATGCTATCATTCTTTCTATGGCTATCGTCTCCCACTTATCAAACTTCCTCAGGAACAACATTACTAGCTCCAAGTTGAGGTGTATGATAACCTTACTTGCCTCAAAATTATAGAAAAGAAGCTTCCAAAATTTCTGTATGTATGTATCAATTTTCTCGCTCATACCTTATGTTTACATGCATAATTTTTGCATTTTGGGTTGTTTATTGTTTATGCAGAACTAACTTATTTTTGGTGAGGATGGGTAATGGGTTTGGATTGTCCAATTCTTTAATTGATTAAATGGTTCAGTAAATGTCCGAGTTACTTATGGAGATTTGCTAATTGCCATCCTAGGGTTGTATTAAGTTCAATTTTCTAGCACATATCCTTCACTGGGATGACACAAAAAATTTAAAACGAGTAGAGGCATTTTGGAATATGCATGATTTCTGATTTTATTGAACTAGTCATTTCTAACATATTGCATTGTCATTTTGATTGTGCTATGTAGTTAAACATTCATTTTAGTAATACTTACTGATATGATTGTGAAAATTTGCAGAAACCCTAACACCATGAGAAGAGCTCTTGTTCTCTGCTCTCGCAATCTCTCTCGCAACATTGAATGCCCTAATCAGATCAGCTTTAGGAGGAATAGTATACTCAATACTCCACTTTACAATCCTCTCACTTCTAAGTTTAGGTTTTTCTCATCATCTGAAAATGAAGGTTCATCCATCCCTAACAAGCTTGAACCTGCCCGCCAGCCAGAGGAAACCAGCTCAACTCAACTTAAGAACAGTCAGCTTCCGGTTGAGGTTGAAGATGTCAACAACAAAGGTTTAAAATATTTTTTTTTTCTAAAAGATTCCTTTCTTTTTGTAGAAAGTTGCTTTTTAAAAAATAATATTGGTAAATTATTTGTAGTATGGATTGTTAAATGTTGTACTAAGTTTTTGTCCAGTTTGGTTGTTAACTATAATATATAGAGATCTAGAAATTTTAATTTGAGAGCATAGAGATTTTATCATTGAAACAGGGCTTCTGAAACAATGCAGGTGTAGGAAACTTGGCAGTAAGTGTAATTTATCACATCACTGTCGCTTTTTTGTTTTATACTGTTGCAGAGCTAAAAGGGTTGCTACTGGACTACTTTGATGGTGATAAGAAGGATGTTCTTCCCAATATCGTTGAAGCAATTATGAAGAGAAGATTAAGCGGAAAGCATGATGACACAGATGATGAGTTATTGGAGGACTTCCGGATGAAACGAATGGAGCCTTTGGATAGTGTCGATGATGAAGAATTTGAGGAAGGTTTTGAGGATGCTCACTCAACTGATGAAGAGATTGATAATTTGTATGATGCACCAGAAATTGTGAAGAAGAGAATGGCACATGATGAGTATTTCAACATGGATGACAAAAAGTGGGATGATATGATTAGTGAGGCTATTGCTCATGGGCATCTCAAGGATACCAAGGAGTGTGAAGAAATCTTAGAGGACATGCTTCAGTGGGATAAGCTTCTACCTGGTACGTTCAATGATCCATTGATCCTTATCAAAAGCAATGGAAGCATGATGTATTTTGGCATTATTGAACTCGTTTTGCCTGGGTTTATTAGGGTAGTCATTTTGATACCTTGAAAATTGTGAGAAAATGTTTACAGTTAATCATTTCAACTAAAGGAATGAGAACATTCTGCACCACACAGATTTCCAATGATATCTGACTTAGGGATCAGTGGATCACCAATTTGTAAAAATAGTAAATCCACAACGATCATAAATTCTTTCAACTTTTTCCCCTTTCACAAATAAATTTTCAACACCAAGTGCCAAAAATCCCTGTATTAAATCCTGCCTACAATATTTCTTTCTTTGAACCTCCACTTTGACTGTTTTCTGATTGGTGGTGGGTGCTTGTGTGTATTGGCCTTCCCACTAGTAGGGGACTTAAAAAAAGATTATTTAGTTCTGTGAAAGTGTGAAGGGTTTCATCTATTTCTCAATGTAGAACTGTACAGATTACAATAATTTATACTGAAAACTAGCTATAACCTAATGGGCCCACTGTAACGGGCCTAGGGTTTCAACACTCCCCCTCAAGCTGGAGAGTATAGATCATAAGCTCCTAGCTTGTTACAAATATATTCAACTCTAGGAGCTCTAAGGGATTTCGTCAAGATATCAGCTAACTGATCTGCAGAATTAGCAAAGCTAGTTTTAATACACCCTGGCACAATCTTCTCTCTAATGAAGTGACAGTCAACCTCAATGTGTTTAGTCCTCTCATGATAAACAGGATTTGACGCGATGTGTAGAGCTGCTTGATTGTCACATATCAACGTCATTTGGGCAACATTGCCACATTGCAATTCTTGTAGTAGGTGTTTAAGCCACATAAGCTCACATGTGGCAAGCGCCATGGCTCGATATTCTGCTTCAGCACTGGACCTAGCAACCACATCCTGCTTCTTACTTTTCCAAGATATGAGATTACCTCCAATAAGAATACAATAACCTGAAGTAGAGCGTCTGTCAAACGGGCAACCAGCCCAATCTGCATCACAATACCCAACAACTTGTGAATGTCCTCTATCTTCGTATACTAAGCCTTGTCCTGGTGCTCTCTTGATATACCTTAGAACACGAACAGCAACATCCCAATGAGAATCACAAGGTGTCTCAAGAAACTGACTCAACACACTAACTGCGAAGGAGATATCCGGTCGTGTGATCGTGAGATAATTCAGTTTTCCAATCAATCTCCTATATCGCTTTCGGTCAGGCAATGGCTCCCCCTGTCCTGGTAGGAGTTTAACATTCGGATCCATTGGATTATCAACCGGTCTACTGTCCAGCATGCCAGTTTCTTCTAAGATATCCAAGGCATACTTCCTTTGAGAAATAACAACACCACTGCTAGATTGAGCCACTTCAATTCCAAGAAAGTATTTTAGCTTACCCAAGTCCTTAGTCTGGAACCGACTAAAGAGATACTTCTTCAACTGAAATATGCCCTCTTGATCACTCCCTGTAATAACAATGTCATCCACATATACTACAAGGTATATGCATTTCTCATTAGAATGACGATAGAAAACAGAATGATCAACTGCACTTCTTGTCATACCAAACTCACACACCACAGAACTAAACCTTCCAAACCAAGCTCGTGGAGATTGCTTTAAACCATATAAAGAACGGCGAAGTTTACATACCATACCAGACTCCCCCTGAGCAACAAACCCAGGTGGTTGCTCCATATAAACCTCTTCGTGAAGATCACCATGAAGAAAGGCATTTTTGATATCCAGCTGGTGTAAGTCCCAATGATGAATGGCTGCCAAAGACAAAAGTAAACGAATTGAAGCAATTTTAGCAACCGGGGAAAAAGTATCAGTATAATCCAAACCAAAAATCTGAGTATAGCCTTTTGCCACCAGACGAGCCTTAAGACGATCAATTGCGCCATCAGGGCCCACTTTCACCGTATAAATCCATCTACAACCAACCACAGTTTTACCAGGAGGAAGAGGAACCAACTCCCACGTGCCACTAGACTGGAGGGCCTCCATTTCTGTTAACATGGCTTGACGCCAACCTGGATCCGAGAGAGCCTCACAAGTGGATTTGGGTATAGACACAGAAGATAGGTGAGAAAGAAATGCAAAGTAAGGGGACGAGACACGGTGATAACTCAGAAAGGTATATATAGGATGGGGGTTACGAGTAGAACGTGTACCTTTTCGAACAGCAATAGGTGCCTCAGTGAGATCAGTGTCAGATTGCAGTGGAAGTGGTGGAACCGCAGCCGGAGGATCGGACAGCACTGGCAAGTCACTAGGGACCTCAGGAACTGCAGGGCGAGGACGCCGGTGATAAACCTGAAGGGGCGGGTTAAGAGGAGTCGGTTGAGCTGGAGGAACAGTGGACTGGACAAGAGGAAGTGGACCAAGATAAGGTATGGGGAGCACCTCAGAGACAGGGATCGTGTCTCCTGATGAGGACTGGAAAAATGGTGTGGACTCAATAAAGGTGACATCTGCGGATACAAAGTGACGCTTTAGTGCTGGAGAATAACACCTATAACCCTTTTGGACACGGGAATAACCCAAAAAGACACACTTGACTGCTTTAGGATCTAATTTGGATCGACCTGGAGTCATGTCATGAACAAAACAAACACACCCAAAAACACGAGGTTGAATAGGGAAAGGATCAACAGAAGGACACACAATGGAATATGGGGTGTCATTGTTAAGAGCAGAAGATGGCATGCGATTGATCAGGTAACAAGCAGTAAGGATAGCATCAGCCCAGAATTGAGAATGAACATGGGAGTGTAACAACATAGTACGGGCAATTTCTACTAGATGTCTATTCTTACGCTCAGCCACCCCATTCTGCTGAGGTGTGTAAACACATGACCTTTGATGCAATATACCACGAGATGTCATATATGACTGAAAAGGATGAGAGAGATATTCTTTAGCATTGTCACTACGCAAAACACGAATGAGTTTGCCAAATTGAGTTTGTATTTCAGCACAAAAAGTTTGAAAAATCTAAAACAATTCAGAACGATCTTTCATAAGGAAAACCCAAGTGCACCTTGAATAATCATCAATAAAGGTTACGAAATAACGAAAACCCAAAATAGAGTTGACACGACAAGGACCCCATATATCTGAATGAACTAAATCAAAGAGGGACGCAGCCCGATTATTGACTCTTCTCGGAAAAGACTGACGTGATTGCTTTCCAAGATGACACGACTCACAATCAAGAGACTCAACAGACAGACCTGGGACCATCCGTTTTAGTTTAGAGAGACTAGGATGACCCAAACGACTATGAATAAGTAAAGGAGACTCTGTAGAGGCAGAAGCAGCAACATCACCACCCCGCATGTAATAGAGGCCCTGTGACTCATTGCCGGTACCAATCACCCTCCCCGTACTGCGATCCTGCACAACAACCGAATCAGCACAAAAGGTTATGGAACAATTGAGAGTACGGGTAATTTTACTCACAGAGATAAGGTTGAAGGGACTGTTAGGGACATATAAAACAGACTCCAAGGAAAAAGACGATATAGGGGAAGCCTGACCAACACCAATTGCTGGTGTTTGATGACCATTAGCTAAGGTGACCATGGGTAAAGTCTTAGACTTAGACACATTATGCAAAAGAGAAAGGTTACCAGAAATATGATCTGAAGCACCTGAGTCCAATATCCAAGAGTTTGGAGTATTGGCGTGTGAAAGACAAACCAAAGAGGAAGTACCAGCATTAGGTGTGGAAGATTCAAGGCGGGACGCTGCTTTAAGTTGGAGATACTCTTCATATTCCCTAGAGGTCATCTCAACTGGGGTAGAGGTTGGCTCATGAGTCTGACTCTCGGATGCAGCAGCCTGGGCCAGATTAACAGAACGGGGAGGCCGACCATGTAACTTCCAACAACGATCTTTGGTATGACCATCTTTGTGGCAGTATTCACACCGAGGACGTTTGCCACGACAACCACCACCACCACTAGATGGTCCAGAAGGTCCTCTATCCACAGCCCGAGTAGCTAGAACTGATGACTCTCCAATAGGTTCAACTGAGGGAGTTGAGGCAATACGAAGCAGTCTGGCAGCAGCGTCAGTGTAGGTAGGCACACTAGGACTGGATAAAATCTGATCACGAATGTGAACCTGGTCAGGCCGAAGGGTAGCCAAGGTCATCACCATAAAGAACTTATCATACTGCTTCATATGACATTCTGACGTCTCCTGATATGGAAGTAAATTATGATACTCCTGCTGTAAAGCTTCCATCCGACCCAAGAAATCCTGTGTACTCATATCAGCAGTGGAACGGAAGTTAAGCATATTAGATACAAGGGAATATAGCCTTTGGACATCATTAGTATACAATGACTTAGCTTTATTCCACACATCATAACAAGTGTCATAAGACTTGTAAATAAGATATAATTTAGGGTCAATGGATTGCCACAACATATTGCACAATAACGCGTCTGACTTCTCCTAATCTGATTTCTTCGACTCTTCAATTTCCCCAACCTTTTTGGTTAGATGATCAGACATCCCCTGGCCTTTGAACCAGAGTGTCACAGAAGCGGCCCACGAAGTGTAGTTTTCACTCCCAACCAATTTGTCCATAGTAATGGTGGGATAAGAGGTAAAGGAAGCCATAGAGATTACCCAAAAAGAAAAAACACACTGTCTGTTTCTCTCTGACCGGCGGTGACCGGCGGCGGCGGCGGCGGTGGCCGGAGAACGGCGGCGGCGGGGCGGTGGCGAGGAAAACGGTCAACACTCCCGGAAGCGTCTCGTCGAGACGAGTCCAATTGTGGTGACGGCGTCTCGATCGGAGATCGGAGGAGAGAGTTATGGCCGGAAAACAGCGGCGGTTCCCGGCGACGGCGACGGCACGTGCGGCGGCGGATGGCGACCAGACTCTGGGCACAGACTCGCGACGGAGCTCCGGTGAGGCCTGTGGTCTCGGTTTGGGAGAAGAACCACCAGGCAGAGGTCGGAGAGAGAAGACCAGTCGCGGCGGCAGTGAAACTTCGGTGGCGGCGGCGGCGGCGCGGCGGCGGGGAAGAGAGGGGAAAAACTATCTAGGGTTTAGGCTCTGATACCATGTGAAATTGTGAAGGGTTTCATCTATTTCTCAATGTAGAACTGTACAGATTACAATAATTTATACTGAAAACTAGCTATAACCTAATGGGCCCACTGTAACGGGCCTAGGGTTTCAACAAGTTCAACAAGGAATTTTCTTTCATTTTGTTGGCCCTTTCTACATTCTTGGAAGGGAAAAGTTAGGAAAGTAAATGCAATAGAAAAGAACAGAAGGGATTGCAGTCCAAGGTAAGAGTTCAGGCCAATCGATATGTATGAGAACGGCCCTGTTTGGTAAAATGGCTGTTAGCTGATAGCTGTTAGCAGTTAGCTGATTGTGTTAATTAGATGATATAAATAGTTGATAACATTAGCTGATTGTAGAAAAGTGTTTGGTAAATTAGCTGTTAGCTGATAGCTGTTTGGTATAATTTCTTTTATCAAAAGGCTAATTTAAAAAGTTGCTTGGAGTAGCTTTTTGAATTTTAGCCTTTTGGAGTTATAAAAAGCTAATTAACCAAACATTTATATTGATATTTTAACTAAATCAAACAATTAATAGTGGTCAAATAAGCCAAAATTGGCCTATAGGCCAATTTTTTACCAAACAGGGCCAATATCTGCTACCTTTTTAGCTGAATGAAATGTCTCACTTATGAAACTGGTTGTTCAAGATGTGTCACTTATGGCTGTGGAGTTCTCTTATTGAAATTAATGCTAGAATTCATTAGTTGACTGTAGTATCTTGAGAATTTCTTTAATTCATCAGATCTCTCCAAAGTAAACTTTATATGTTGTTTCTACTTTCTCACTATACCACTGAATAACAAAACTGAGTTTCTTTTTCTTTGCTGTTTTCTATCAGAATGCATTTCGGTCTTCATATTTTGAGTAACTGTAGCTTGGCCCTCAAGATTTCTGTATGGTTCATTGGTTTTAATCTTTTTCATTTTCTGTTTTCATAGATGAGATTAAGGAGAAGGTGGCTAAAAGACTTGATGAGATATCTGACATGGTTGAAAAAGGTGAGCTTGAAGCTGAAGAAGGTTATGCATTGTTCAAGGAATTTGAGGATCAAATGGTTCTGGAATGTGGTAAACTCATGGAGAAGGAACCTTTGGAATTTGATGAGTCTACCGTTGCTGATAATAAAAAGGATGTGGATGACCCACCTGGTGAGGGGCCAATCCTTAGGTGGCAAACTAGGGTAGTTTTTGCTCCAGGTGGTGATGCATGGCACCCAAAAAATAGAAAGGTGAAATTGGCTGTTACAGTCAAAGAACTTGGCCTATCTAAACATCAATTTCGCCGTTTGAGAGAATTGGTTGGAAAACGTTACCATCCTGGGAGAGATGAACTTACCATCACAAGTGAAAGGTAAGGTCACATGTGGCAATTATATTGACCTTGATTTTGCACCCTGTCCTATGCTTCACTTTATATGTTTGATTAAAAAGGAATTGGATTATGTTATCAGGTTTGAGGATCGTGAGGAGAATAGAAAGGATTGCCTTAGGACTCTATTATCTTTGATTGAGGAGGCTGGAAAAGCAAATAAAATTGTGGAGGATGCTCGCACTGCGTATGCCAAGCAGAGACTTAAAGCAAATCCAAAATTCATGGCAAGGTTACATGCAAAGACTGCTAAGATGAGAGAATCTACTACCCCCTTGCCTGCATGATACGTCTACAGGTAAATGTCAAAGCTATGTTTTATTAAGTAGTTTTGATCATTAATTAATTCCACTCTGGTATGGTCTTTACATGGACAGATGATGTACCCTGGAAATATCTAAAAACTCAAGCTGAAAAAATGACACCAAGTAATGCATCTTCCGGGTTTGAATTTGAGAATGATTTGGTTTTTGTTTATCAAGAGAACTCTGGTGTTCACCCTGGAAATTCCAAGACTGATTACTTGGCATGGATTAAAGTGGAGAAAAAAAAATAATAAAAATAATTAGTGTAGCTGGAAAACATTGCTATTTTGCTTTACTTCGTTTTTGGCTCTGTAGTTTTGGCAATTGTTTTTGTCAGGTCAGGTTAGTTAATGAAATGTTGAGATGTGATGCTGAATACTGTCAGCAATCAAGTATATTACCATTGACATCTCATAGGTGGTTTTTATTTTCAATTCTTAGGGTGTTTTTGATTCATGGGTTAGACACAAGGAATCAAAATGAAAGTCATACGGATTGTTTGGTTCACAATTTTTTTTTTTTTTTTTTTTTTTTTGAAATCAAACTGACTAACATATCATTGATAAGCTACCGAAGTTACAACTTTAGAAAGGAAAACAGGAGGATTGTGAAACCAGTCCCTACAACTAGTAGAGAACACAGCTCTTGGACTAGCAAGTGAGTTGTGTTCACGGATCGTTTAACAAAAATAAAGCTAATACAAGAGAATGTATTAACTAAAGCTAATACAAGAGAATGTATTAACTATTTTCCTGATTGTTTAACAAAAATAAAGCTGTTGTGTACAAATCCCCCAACACATGATTAGTAGTAGATAGAAGGAAAAAGAATCCAGAATCCAGTGTGGGGATGGTCTCTCTTACTTTGCCACATAAACAACAAAGACTTGGGCAGTTCACTTTGTTTCCAGTGAGGATATCTATAGTAGGAATAGGAAGAATACTTGTGCAAGCTTGCCACACAAACACTTTGACCATGGGAAGGATAGATAGCTCCCACACTCGGGTCCAGTCCAAACTCCAAAGGCACACCACTACTCAATTTGTTAACAAGGATTTTATAACAATTTTTCACTGAAAAAAATTCCCCCAAATCAGTTGATCAGGGTAATTATTTTGGGGCACTGGAATGCTCAGAATGGTGTTCTGTCTTCTCTCTCAAAAATATCATTTACAATATCCTTGTCCCAATTCAACCTATCCTCAGCCAACAATGTAACGAATCAACTGTAATATCTCTCAGGTAGTCTAGCCTAGCCTAGCCTAGCTGTCATAACATAAGGAGAAGCTAAGTTAGGAAGCGATGGATCGCCCACACTCCACCTGCAGTTGGCTTTTAAAGTGGACTGAGTTTCCAGAATACTTTCCAGACAAAGGATGGATTGCCTCTTAGCTTAGTTTCCAAAAAAGAGGAATTCCTCAAGTATTTGGCTTTGAAAACTTTGGTGACCAAAGAATTTGGGTAGTTAATAAATCTCCTAGCCTATTCACCCAAAAGTGTAAAATTGAAGTCCCTGATTCTCCGAAATCATATCCCATTCCACCTTCACTCTTCGGCTTACATAAATCTTGTCAGCTCTTTCAATTAATCCCTTTATACTCATGGCATAGAATGGTATGGCCTGCATGACGTTTTTTATCAGGATCTCTCTTCCAGCTTTAAAAATAAATATGTTATTCTAACCATTAATCCTAGCCAACACCTTGTCCTTAATGAAGCCTAGGATCTCATTCTTTTTCCTCCCCACCTGAGATGGTAATCCAATGTACTTGACTGATCCTTCATTGATGTTTAGAATTTTCTTGACCACCTCTTTAGACACAACATCCACATTTTTGCTAAAGAATAAAGATGATTTGTTGAAATTTGTGCACTATCCTAACGCCTCAGAGACCTCTTTGAGGATTTCTTTCATGATGCCAACCTCTAGAGAGTTAGCCCTGCAGAACAAGAAACCGTCGTCTGTGAATAAAAGATGAGTTATTTCCGGGGCACCCTTAGAGATTACAATTCTGTGAAGCCCTCCCCTTGCACTAAGAGCTTCCATCATGAGAATAAATAGATAGGGAGATAGGGGATCCCCACTACAAGAAAAAATGTACATAGACAACGGTTAAAAACCATTGCCTTTTAGGTAAAAAATATGTTGTTAAAGCAGTGTTGTTGTAAGTCATACTCAAAGACAATGGTTTTTATCCGTTGTCTTTTATATTAAAGACAATGGTTAAAAACCATTGTCTATTGAGGGTTGTTAAAGTGTGTGTGTGTGTGTGTGTATATATATATATATATATATATATATATATATATATATATATATATATATATATATATATATATATATTAGGCAGTCTAGTCTCTTGGAAACTTGTTTCCTTGTTTGGTATCTTCTAGCTTGTATATATAGGGTTGTGTTGTGTATTCTTTGAGAGGATGTACAGGAAATAATACATTCTTCTATTTCATAACATGGTATCAGAGCCAAAACCCTAATATAAACCCTAGCTTTCCGCCGCCGCTGTCACCACTGGAGGTTGCCGTCGCCACCGGAGTTCATCGCCGCGACTGCCAATCTTAGATCTGACGTATTTTTGTGGCTTTTCTTCCATTCTTGCACCACAGGTCGTCTTAGATCATCGTCGCGAGCCTACGACTGGAATATCGTCACCGTCCGCGCGCCACCGCCGTCTCTGGACAGCCGCATCTTTTTCCAGCCAGATCTCCCTCCTCCGATCTCCGATCGAGACACCGTTGCCACTGTTGGACTCGTCTTGAGGAGACGCTTCTGGTAGTGTTGTTTGTTTTCAGATCCGCTGGTCAACCGCAAGTCAACGCCGGTCAACTTCGTCGGTCAACAGTCAGGTTGTATCGTACACCTTCCGGTTCCTATTTTGTGTGATTTGAGATATGTTTTTTGTTTGGCTATGGCTGAATATCAATATCGTATGTTTGCTAAGTCGGTCACAATCTCGGCTGATGAGTTTGCTGAGTTTTCTCGGTACCGAGCCTCTCTTAAACATTCATCATCTTCGGTCACTGTTATTGCTAACTCAGGTAACACAACTTCTTGCCTTCTCTCGTCTTCTTCCAAATGGATCATAGACTCAGGAGCCATAGATCATATGATAGGTATCTCTAGTCTGTTTTCCACATTTTCTCCCCATACACATAGTCCTCCTATCACCTTAGTAGATGGATCTACCTCCCGTGTACTTAGGTCTGATACCATTTTACCTGTCCCTTCGGTCCCCTTGTCATCTGTCTTGAGTCTGCCTAACTTCTCGTTTAATTTAATTTCGGTCAGCCAACTTACTCGTTCGTTAAATTGTTGTGTTACATTCTTTCCGGACCATTGTCTGTTTCAGGATCTTATGACAAAGAGGGTGATTAGTAAGGGACACATGTCTTGGGGTCTCTATATTCTTGACACCACGAGGCTGGAGTCTGTGGCTTGTTCCAGTGTTGTCACCCCGTTTGATGCTCATTGTCGCTTTGGTCATCCTTCCCTTCCGTTGTTAAAGACATTGTGTCCTCAATTTCCGAGTTTGTCTTCTTTACCTTGCGAGTCATGTGAGTTTTATAAGCACCATCGCGTGCATTTGAGTCCTAGAGTCCACAAACGTGCAACTTCTCCTTTTGAATTAGTCCATTATGATGTATGGGGACTGTTTTCTGTGACCTCTAAACCAAGGTTCAAGTATTTTGTTACATTCGTTGATGATTTTTCTCGTATGACGTGGTTATATTTGATGAAGAGTCGTTCTGAATTGTTTGGTTTGTTTCGTGGGTTTTGTGCTGAAATTGAAACCCAGTTTGGAGTGCCTGTTAAAATCTTACGCAATGATAATACTAAGGAATATTTTTCGTTCCCCTTTAACTCTTATATGCTTCAGAAGGGTATGCTACATCAGTCCTCTTGTGTCGACACACCGTCCCAAAATGGAGTGGCTGAGCGCAAAAATAGGCATCTACTCGAGACTATAAGGGCCTTGCTATTTCAGATGGGTGTTCCCAAGCAGTTTTGGACTGATGCTATTTCCACAGCCTGTTTCTTTATCAATCGCATGCCCTCCACAGTCTTGAATGGGAAAACACCATTCCATTGTCTCTATCCATCAAAGTCTTTGTTCCATATTGACCCACGTATATTTGGTTGTGTATGTTTTGTTCGGGATGTTCGTCCCACTGTTACCAAGTTAGATCCAAAGTTTTTAAAGTGTGTCTTTCTTGGTTATTCTCGTGTGCAAAAGGGGTACATATGTTACTCTCCTGAGCTTGGTAGGTACCTTGTGTCCATTGATGTGACTTTTCACGAGGACATTCCTTTTTTCTCTTCCTCTCTAGATGCTATCCGTCAGGGGGAGGATAATGACGTTTTGATGTATATGGTCACATCCTATATTCCTACCGTTCCTACCCCTCCTGTCTTATAGGTATATTCTCGTAGACCTCGTCAGAATGTCTCTGTTCCAGATCCGCCTCCTGTTACTCCCCTTGACTCGGTGCCTGCACAATTCCCTGAAATCACCTCTTCATCGTTAGATCCAGTCTTGGATAGTAACCTTCCAATTGCTCTCAGAAAAGGTAAACGCAGTTGTACTTATCCTATGTCTTCCTTTGTGTCTTATGGTCGTGAGTCACCAGCCTCTTGTTCTTTCATGACTTCTCTTGATTCTATTTCTGTTCCTAAAACTGTTAAAGAGGCTTTGTCCCATCCTGGGTGGCGAAATGCTATGATTGAAGAGATGAATGCTCTGGATCGTAATGGTACTTGGGAATTGGTTAACTTGCCTGCTGATAAGAGGCCTATTGGTTGTAAATGAGTGTTTAATGTCAAAGTAAACTCTGATGGGTCTGTTGCTTCACTGAAATCTCGTCTTGTGGCTAAGGGATATGCCCAAACTTATGGAATTGATTATTTTGATATTTTTTCTCCTGTGGCTAAGCTTACCTCTATCAGGTTACTCATTTCGATGGCTGCCATTCATGATTGGCCTCTACATCAGCTTGATATCAAGAATGCTTTTTTTTGCATGGGGATTTTCACGAAGAAGTGTACATGGAGCAACCTCCTGGGTTTGTTGCTCAAGGGGAGTCAAGGAGAGTATGCCAACTTCGTCGGTCATTATATGGGTTGAAACAAAGTCCTAGTGCCTTGTTCGGGAAATTTAGTCAAAACTTTTGAGAGCTTTGGGATGGTGAAAGGAAAATCAGATCACTCCATGTTTTACAAGTGGTCTAAAACAGGCATTATTTGGTTAGTAGTCTACGTGGATGACATTGTCATATAGGGAGCGACACCGAAGGGATCTCATCTCTCAAGACATTTCTTCATAGTCAATTTCAAACAAAAGATTTGGGGCCACTGAAGTACTTCTTGGGTATTGAAATTATAAGGAGTAAAATAGGTATATTACTTTCTCAACGAAAATATGTACTTGACTTACTTTCTGAAACAGGAAAATTGGGTGCTAAACCATGCAATACTCTCATCATACCGAACACACAGTTGTCAAAGGAGGGGGAATTGTTTAAAGATCCTGAGAGGTACAGGAGATTAGTTGGAAAGCTGAACTATTTGACAGTGACTCGTCCAGATATTGCATACTCTGTTAGTGTTGTGAGTCAGTATATGACATCCTCAACTGTTGATCATTGGGCAGCTGTAGAGCACATCTTGAGTTACTTGAAGGGAGCCCCTGGACATGGAATTTTGTATAAGAATCATGGTCACACTCAAATTGAGTGTTTTACTGATGCTGATTGGGCATGATCAAAAGAGGATCGAAGATCAACAACTGGCTATTGTGTTTTCTTTGGTGGTAATCTGGTTTCGTGGAAGAGCAAAAAGCAGAATGTGGTTTCTCGTTCAAGTGCAGAGTCTGAATATAGAGTTATGGCACAATCAGCATATCAATTGATGTGGATAAACAACCCCCTGAATGAATCTGGTTTCAAAGCTCCAATCACTGCAAAACTATGGTGTGCTAATCAAGCTGCTCTTCATATTGCATCCAACCCGGTATTCCATGAACGAACAAAGCACATAGAGATCTATTTCCACTTCATCCATGAAAAGATACAGCAAGGTTTAATATCTACAGGATTTGTGAAGTCTGGAGAACAATCAGGGGACCTATTCACAAAAGCCCTTAACGGCACCCGAGTTAGTTATTTATGTAACAAGTTGTGCATGATTAATATCTATGCTCCAATTTGAGGGGGAGTATTATAGTGTATGTATATATATATATATATATATATATATATATATATATATATTTATATATATATATATATATATATATATATATATATATATATATATATATATATATATATATATATATATATATATATATATATTAGGCAGTCTAGTCTTTTGGAAACTTATTTTATTGTTTGGTGTCTTCTAGCTTGTATATATAGGGTTGTGTTGTGTATTCTCTGAGAGGATGTACAGGAAATAATACATTATTATATTTCATAACAATACTCATGGCATAGAATGGTATGGCTTGCATGACGTTTTTTATTAGGATCTCTCTTCCAGCTCTAGAAATAAATATGTTTTTCCAACCATTAATCCTAGCCAACACCTTGTCCTTAATGAAGCCTAGGATCTCATTCTTTCTCCTTCCCACCTGAGATGGTAATCCAATGTACTTGACTGATCCTTCATTGATGTTTAGAATTTCCTTGACCACCTCTTTAGACAAAACATCCACATTTTTGCTAAAGAATAAAGATGATTTGTTGAAATTTTTGCACTATCTTGACGCCTCAGAGAACTCTTTGAGGATTTCTTTCATGATGCCAACCTCTAGAGAGTTAGCCCTGCAGAACAAGAAATCGTCGTTTGTGAATAAAAGATGAGCTATTTCCGGGGCACCCTTAGAGATTACAATTCTGTGAAGCCTTTCACTTGCACAAAGAGCATCCATCATGAGAATAAATATATATGGAGATAGGGGATACCCACTACAAGAAAAAATGCACATAGACAACGGTTAAAAGCCGTTGCCTTTTAGGTAAAAAAAATATGCTGTTAAAGCCAGTGTTGTTGTAAGTCATACTCAAAGACAATGATTTTTAACCGTTGTCTTTTATATTAAAGACAACTGTTAAAAATCGTCGTCTATTGAGGGTTGTTGAAACCGGTGTTGTTGTAAGTCACGCACAAAGACAACGGTTTTTAACTATTGTCTTTTATATTAAAGACAACGGTTAAAAATCGTTATCTATTGAGTGTTGTTGAAGTCAGTGTTGTTGTAAGTCATGCTCAAAGACAATGGTTTATAACTGTTGTCTTATATATCAAAGACAACATTTTTAAAAAACTGTTGTGCATTGAGTGTTGTTGAAGCCGATGTTGTTGTAAGTCATGCTCAAAGACAACCGTTTTTTAACCGTTGTCTTATATATCAAAGACAACGATTTTTAAAAATTTTGTCTATTGAGTATTTTTGAATCCGGTGCTGTTGTAAGTCACCCTCAAAGACAATGATTTTTAATTGTTTTCTTATATATCAAAGATAACGGTTTTAAAAACTATTGTCTTTATTCATAACGACAACGATTTTAAAACAGTTATTGTTGTAATGAATAACAACGGTGGTTCAAAGTCCGTTGTGTTTAACCTATTTTTATTTAAAACATAATATGTAATAATAACATTTTATACAAACATCAGAAATACAAAAGCAAAGAACGCCATTATACAAATAAGTAAAGTAATTTAGAATACCAATTCACAGCATTCAAAAAAAAAAAAGAATACCAATTCACATGATCATATACTTCAAAATACAATCAACAATTCATTGGTGTTCAAACACAATCACTAAGTCCAAATATAGTTCACAATGTTCTCATCAAATGCATTCTTAATCCACATGACTTGATATACATCTCCCCATTCGGAACACACTGGATCGATATCCATTACATTGTAATCAACTTGTGAGAACTACATGTAAAAAATATATAAATATTAATTAAATAAAATGGTTGTCTTTTATAAAAATAAAATCCAAATAAACAACAATTTTAAAAAATCGTTGTCTTTGAAGTGTTGTGTATTCAAGTACACTTAAAGACAATACACAAACGACAATAGTTAAATAAAATTATTGTCTTTTTCTTTAAAAAAAAAAAAAAAAAGCGCGCAAAGACAATGATTTTAAAAAATTGTTGTCTTTGTAGAGTTGTATTTTCAAGTGCACTTAAAGACAACACACCAATAAGAAAGGTTAAATAAAATCGCTGTCTTTTATTAAAAAAATGCACATAGACAACGATTTTTAAAAATCGTTGTCTTTGTGGTGTAGTTTTTTTACAAATTGCACAAAGACAATGCAGTAAAGACAACGGTTCGGTAAAAAATGTTGTATTTGACAAAAGTGTTGAGTCAAAGACAAAGATTTTGGACAAAAAGACAACATTTTTGTCAAAAATTATTGTCATTATAGTGTTGTCTTTGTGCATTTTTCTTATAGTGCCCCATGTCTTATACCTTTCTAAGGAATAATAGACCTAAATTCATGGCTATTATGCATTATAGAGAACCTAACTAATCTTATACATCCAGAAATCATCCCCACTAAAATCATCATTAAAACCAAATCTGCGAAGCAGCCCCTCCACCATCTCCCAATTAACCCTATCAAAGCTTTACTTATATCTAATTTCATCTCAATAGCCCCTATCCTTCCCTGGTTCTTCTTATTGAGATAATGTTGTGTCTCATAAGACATCAGGAGGTTCTATGAGATTAACCTACCCGGGATGAACGCACACTGGGCTTTAGAGATTAGGTTTTGAAGTAGGGCTTTGATACGATTTACAAGAGTTTAAGCAAGGATTTTATAAAGGACATTGCAAAGTGCAATAGGTCTCAGATCATGTCTGAGGGTTCTTGGAATAAGGACAATCTAAGTATTGTTGTAGCCAACCGAAAGAACTTTGGTTAGTCTAAAGTCTTCACAAAAATTAACCACCACACTATTCACAATATTCTAGTAATATTGAAAACACACTGGAGGAAGCCCATCTGGACCTGGAAATTTGTCAGGTTTCATATAAAAAAAAAAAAAAAAAAAAAGGCTATACGAACTTCCTCCATATCAATGCTCTTGGACAAGGCTAGATTTTGGGTGTAGGTTATTTTTGTTTTCAAGGCAATTAATCACATGCTGGCTAGTCCCCTGAACCCACCCACTGAACAAATTTTGGAAATAATCCAGCCTTATGTTATAGAGTTGTCCATCCCCCAGACTCTTTTCTTAGTCTCCACACTTGGTTTGATTTTTCGTTACTGAGGTTTTGATTCTCACCCCATTCTTTAATGGCATGTTTGGTTCATGGAATAGGTCAGGAATGGAATAACATTTCTTGGAATAGACCTATTTCATTGTTTAGTTGGTCATTTTGTCATGGTAATAACATTCCTAGGAATGAGCTATTACCTTTGCAAGGGGAATAGTCATTCCTAGGGAGGCCTTTGGTATTAGCTATTCTCATGCTCTTGGGAATAGCTTTTATACCACAAATACTAAAAATATCATTTGCACATTATTTAATATTTATATTTAATAAATATAATGTATTATATATATATATATATATATATATATATATATATATATATATATATATATATATATATATATAATTGCACTCAGGTGCGAATGAAGCGCCCAGAGGGGGAATATGCGAACGAATCAGCGCGCGACACGTTCCAGATCTAATGAATTATAAAAACGCGGTGGTATTTTAGTAAATAATTGAACATCGAAGTGCAAGTAAAATGTATTACAAGTGCATGTAAAGTGTATTATAGATGCAAGTAAATTTTACACTGAGCATTAATACTAAGTGCACCTATAGTTATAAGTAATTGCACCTATAATTATATGTAGTTGCACCTATAGTTATAAGTAGGTGCACCTAGGTGCATGAATGTTTGCGGGAAGTGAATGTTAATAAGGCAAAATTACATGCACTTATAGGTGAAAGTAGGTGCACCTATAGTTATAAGTAGTCACCTATAGTTATAAGCAGGTGCACCCAGGTGCATGAATGCTTGCGGGAAGTGAATGTTAACAAGGCAAAATTACATGCACTTATAGGTGAAAGTAGGTGCACTTGTAAGTGATTTTACTTGCACTTCGATGTTCAATTATTTACGAAAATGTCACCGTTTTTTTTTTAATTTATTAGATCTGGACACGTGTCGCGCGCGAATTCGTTCGCACATTTCTTCCTGGACACTTATTCATATCTGAGTGCATCCCTATATATATAGTAAATGTCATTTGAGATCCTCTGAATTTAGTGATTTCGCCATGTTTAGTTAGAAACATTGAAATTGCCATTCGTAGTCCTTCTGTTACTTACCGTCGTCTAAGCGGTAAAAAATAAGGGCAAGACCGTCCATTAACATTGTTTATCCAATTATTACGCAAAAAAAATAGCATTTCAGATTTCTTTCTTATTTTTCATCCGAGATACGCACGCACTCCTTCTTGATAGATGTGTCAACCTAAAAATCTAATCTTGATGCCATACTACATACCCAACAGAATACAGAATTGAGATAAAAAGCTCAAAATCAAAACCGAGAAGCAAGAAAAATGAAATTTTAGCTAAGCCTAGAGTTGATGAAGAACCTGAGTAACAGTCTTGCCATGGTTATAGTGAAGAAGACCAGTAGGGTAAGTCTTCTCGTACTGAAGCTTGTACCTCCCCTCTGGGGTCTTGAAATACGTTTTCAAACTAGGCAATTGCGCGTTGTTCCGAGATGTAGATGACGACGCCATCAAACTATTACTCCCCGCTGTGTAAATCGGGGTCCTTGTCTTTCAGAGTACCAACTTTTGGATTACATCTATGAATTCAACAAATGATAGGCTAAAGTAAGATTGGTAACTCCCAGGATAAGAAGAAGAAGAAACATCATCAATTTTTTAATTATAAATCCGAAAATCAACTGAAATAGAGAGAAATGAAGCAAGCATCCATCACACACAGTTGAGTTCCACACCCCAAAAAAACAAAATCAAACACTAAAATTCAAAACAAAACACACAATTCCAACACAAATTAAAGGGGATCGGACCTATTCAATTATAATTCCATAAATATTAAAGAAATAAATGGTGAGCATATATATACTTGAAGGGCGGAGAGATGTTGGTTATAGAAACTTTGAAAAGGAGTTCCAGATCTTTGATCAATCAAACTCTTGCAGACTTTACTGTCATGGGTGCAGCTCCGAATCCTACGCCAGTTCCTATTGACCATCTTCTGAAGCCAATTGGAGTAGTCCTCAAGCCGATACTCCATGTCGCCTTTCCCGGAGATGGCCTCACCGGCACCCTTGTTGGTGACCACAAAGGCAAAGACAGTGAAGCAGAAGAGGATGACGATGAGGAAGAACATGACGAAGAGGTATATCCATAGGAGCCAGGTGACCCGGCAGCAGGCGCCCACGAGGCCTGTGAGTGACAGCAGCATGATGAAAACCCCTAGGGCTATCACAGGCTTGTCCAGGAAACGCTCGCACTCTGTGTTTCCCTGCCTGGACAGCCATATCTCGCCGCCGATGTCGAGATGGAGATTAAGAATATGATTATGTTGAGAATTCCCAGGAGGTTGTTGATAACCCTCACCACCGCCGCCGATGATCGGGTTGTAATCCTCGTCACAATGTCGAAAATCGGATCCCAGAGTTTCAGAGCTCGGAACATAGGCAACAAAAACAACCAT